ATTCAGTTTTTTTTCACCATCCTTAAATGAACTACATGAACATGTTTGGTACATAGTACTCGACAAAACAGCAAACAAGATTTTAATTGCTTTTTCCCCTAAAATCTGTCCTGCCAAAGTGGAGGCCAGTCTATCAGACGTCATAAATATCGTGTGCAGGAGAGTCTAGGCAAGCTAAAGATGAAGATGTAGACTAGAACTAGAACTAGAGCTCACTTGTATATAAGTCAATTGATCTTGCCAAGTTTTCTCCAAGGATTTCATCGTCTCCTCGTATTCTCGCCATTTATCCTCCATTTTCTGAAGTTGCATCTTCAAAGTAGAGTTTTCCTCATTCTTCTTCCGCAGTTTTGCCTCCATCCTTAAAGCTTGCTTTTGAAGATCAACAAAAGCAAGATGCTGAACCAGAACGCAATCCTAACAACAAAACTCATTGTGCTTTTGTTCAAAAACTAGAAAGGCAAATGGTAGGTTTTTCTTCGTCAATTATGTAATTTTAGCCTACAACACCTTGACCTTGTTCAAAGATTTACAAAGCATATTTGAAGATACTAGAAATTCCATCATATATACATATAACTTCTTGTCTGTGTCTTTAGGCAAGTATCTGACATCTCTCTCATTCCCAATTTTTATTTTTTGTAAGTGTCCTATGTGGTACATATATATAAGGGGCGGAGCCAGGAAATTTGTTCAGTGTGAGCATAATTTAACACATGTCGAACATTGAATTTTGATCATAAATTTAATGATAAAAAAATAATAATAAAAAAAAGACATAGTTTATAATTAAACGTGTTCCTTGCGAGTTTTCATATTTTGATAAGTGAAGTCCAAATCAACCTATACTTAAAATCAAGCAAAATCATGGGATATTGCTTAAAAAAAAGTAAAAAATTGTTTTGGGCCTAAAAATATATGCCTGCACTCGTCCTCACATGGCTCCGCCCATGTACATAACGGAGATGTCGTGTCCGAAAACAGGATGATACTTTTGCATTCAACATTCTATTTTACCAGAATGCAAGGACAAAACTGCTGCACGCCTCTATTTTATTGCCCTGTATGCAAAGTGATGTATTTCTGTATTATGATAATTGTTGTCAGTTAGTGATGGTAACGGGGCGGGACAGTGGGCTTGCCCCCTTTTTCTTTTTTATTTTATTTCAAATTCAATAAAATACAGATAACATTCAAGCTGATAAAGTTAATATCCAAAATAAACGCTACAAATCTTAAATATAATGGTCGCTATTGGTACACAACATTGATTACTAGTATGAACAAGGCTTTTTGTGTTTTTTCCTTTGATATTGTCATAAAAGTTGTAACCCCATACATTTTAATTTATTACAATATATAAATTTTCAAATTTGTTCAGTTAAACATGTTATATCTTTTTATATTTGTTTTTATCAATATAATATCAATTTGACAAAATAGCATAATGGTATATATAAATTAGTCAAGTTTGATAAGACTTATACAATTGAGGATACTAGAAAATAGGTCATATCCTTCTATTTAAAGCAAGTTGAACCCTAACATTTTAATAAATAAAAAAAGGTTTCACGGGGCCGGTTCGGGGCGGGTTTTTTTTGCCGCATTCGGGACGGGATAAATTGTCATCACTACTGTCAGCCCCTTAATTCTGTACCGATGCTCTTTCTTGAATTTTCACTACGAAGAACAGCCAAGACTTAAAAATAAGATGGAATTACTATTAAGGGAAAAAATCTCACATCGATTAACGATAAAAACATAAACCAACG